AACGCACGCTTCCGAGACACGTAATCCTAGCAAGCAGAAGACGTCTAAACAGCAGGAGGTTTATCAATCAATTGAGGAAGGTACAAGACTCACGGAACTCGCGTTGCGAGACCGGGGGTGTGTGTCTGATGATTGGCTGGCTGGTGTGAGTGGTAACCAATCCACGCACGGCTGAGTAAACGGATCGAAGTCATTCGCGTACGTGACAGTACGTACTGTCCAGAGGTTTCAATGTGAGACATTTGGGGATCAGGTTAGTATTAAGACATCTCACGTTGAAAACGCGATGATTCTCCCAGTTCGTTTTAGGGCCCGCCAATTGAACGAATCCACTTGACAGTTTTCGAACTCGGGGTCCGTAATTGGTTTCAACACTTTGGAAGATACTTGAAACCGATTGAGTAGTTATGAGTTCAGAGAGGTTTGGAAACAACCGGTTGGTATTGTAGTTTGGCAAGGTTTCACCCTCGACACAAGAGCTTCGTCAGACCAGGTACATCAGTGTGCAATTGATGTAGGATTTTTATAGCGAACAGGGGCGTTAACCGCGTTACCCGAGAGTTGAGCCATGATGTTATTGCGATAACAGTTCGAGATGGCACCTCAGGGGGTAACGCGGTTATCGCCCCTGTTCGCTATAAAAATCCCACACCAACTGCACACTGATTCACCTGGTCTGGCGAAGCCGTTGTGTTGAGGGTGAAACATTATCAAACTACAATACCAACCGATTGTTTCCAAACCTCTCTGAAGCCGTAGAAACTTCTTTTCCATTCGCGTGTAGAGTCTTGGAATGCCCTCCCTAATTATATCGTCTCTGCTTCCAATCTGGCCATATTTACAAAACGAGTTGACGTTGCATTGGCTCATACTATTGATTGTTAGCCAAGGGCTACAAAACGCAATCAAACGGTGTCTTGCCAAACTCCAAACCAATGGATTTATGGATTTATACGTTTAATACGCGAACATCTCCGCTAGTCTACATAAGTCTATGGTGAATCCACCAAAACGCTTTTCACTTTATCCTGCCATGCACCTTTCGAAATAATTTCCATCCCACAGGATTTGTTTTGCAATGCTTTTTAGCCATAAGAAGCCATTGTCCCATTGTTCTATTGTTCCTTTGTCCAGCCCGGGGACTCAAGGCAATAACAACACTGGCTTGGCCGGTGTTCGAAGCTGTATCTTCACTGGATAGACGCAATGAGAAAGTGCTGCTGGTGTAGCCTGAAGGGGATTGCAAAGCGAACACTGAGCTCGAGACTTGCAGGCGGGTCTTCGATAAGCAACAGATATTGGTAGAGAGGGTCTCTAATGTCCGGGCTAGTGCTGCTTGTTGACCGATCTGTAGAAATGTGTGTACGTGGAGGCACGCCAGTCTGAAGGATGATCCATGACTACATTTGGAAGCGGATGAACTGGGGTGGACCGTTTGATTGGACATGGGCTTGTCGACAGGGCAAAAATTGCGCTCCACGTTTGCATGTGAATGGAGGCTAGAAGATAATCGCTTATCAAAGCAAGGTGGGTGGGTGCCAAGTATTGGGGGTCGAAAACTCGTGGGTTAAAAGTGGAGCTGGAACGGGATGACAAGGGTGAAGAAGCGGAACAGGGGGAACAATAAGACTGGAAGGCTTGACCAGTAGCATCCGAACACCTAACCACTCTGCTCTATGCAACAGATAGGGCATCGTTGATTATCCTCCGTGGTGGCTGGAACATCAGGAAATTGTTAGTGGAAGGATTCATAGTATTGCGTGGGTAAGACACTGTCAGATTACCCAGGCCTAGACAGATTGTCACTTTTGGCTTCGCTTGATGCGGATGTGATAAGATATGTACCTATATGGTGCTGCAAATTCACGAGATTGTTAATTGGTGATACTACTGTGTGCACAGTCCTTGTGAACGTGGCATCGCTTTGGAACGGGATGAGGCCAGCTTACTACCACCCCGTGTGAGTCCGGTACGCATGATCCACTGGATGTCATCCAAATAAGTAAACAAGTCTATACCCGGACAGCTTGGATGCGTTTATTTATGTGTATGCTGGGCGTGTGAGGGTCGTTCCACGATAATCATGTCCCCGTCTGTCTGGTGGTCCTTCGAGAGTAAAAAAACAAAGTCCGAGCAATAATCAGAAAAGTGCTATTCATCAACCATAGCAACACTTAGAGTATACAACAGTTGAAACACTATTCCATTGTAGCAACTTTTCACTGATTTATCCACCCCCTTCGTGCCTTAAGCTAGTCACTGGAATGCATTCCCCACATGCACTGCTCATTCACTGGGATTGCGCAACCCATGCTTACCTCGTTACTGGCCACACCAAACTTCGTTCATGCATCGTTTATTTGACACGTAAAATTCTGGTCACTTTGTGTGGGTGGTGCTTGATAACGGTGAAGGAGACCTTCAGTACGGGATGTGTATGAGGAGGTTGGATTGTTCCCCAGGTGATATCTTCTATCCTGATAACGACGAAATAATAATAATAATGATCGTAATAGTAATGATAATACGTATATTTCCCGATCGTTCGAGAGGCTGTCACTGAATTGTGGACAGATCATGAGTGCTGTGATATTCATGCGCATGCCTGAGCGACATGTGTAGTCTGGGGCACTTGACACCAAACTAATTCGAATCAGATAACTGTTGTTTTTGATGAATTTTGTGTGACATCTTTCTCACTGATTATATATTTCTTTGTCCTATAAGAGCGCGTTTAATGATTTATCCGTCGGTAAAATGGTCATTGTCGAATTCTGGTCCAGAAAATTTCTAGGTTTATGGTGGAATGTTATTGCCTTTGTTGGACAGCCGCCATCGCATTTTAGGTTGCCAGCCGAGGTTACTCACCAAGAACGTGTTGTACTCTTGCGTTAACTGAGCGACTCCACTCCTCGCTTGCCTGAAACCACGCTTCCCTTTGTTCGTCCTGGGTAGATCACAACCTTGTCTCCGTGCCTTTGTAATTTAGCTCACATCTGGTGGGAACACCGCGTGAGCAACGAGCGTGTTCGACGCCTTGTTTTAATGGCACAGGAAAAGGAACTGAACTGCTCAGCACCGTTATTTCACGCACCAGGCTCCGATGACTGGGCCACGTGTTACGCAGGCCAGCACACCGACTCCCGCGACGTGCGTTGTGTGGGCGCCGGGGGGTGTGGATGGAAGAAGAGGAGAGGTGGCCAACCGATGACTTGCTCGACACCATTGAAGGCCCTCACTTCAAAGCTGGCCTCGGTTGGAATGTCTCGGCTCCCTGGTTGGGGTGCGAAAAACGATGAACACGTTTGGTTGGGCACACTTGCTGATATGGCCAGGAGCCGACCTCAGTGGCGTTCGTGCTGTGAGTTTCTTTGTCCCACCCCGGCCCTCTTAGCCTCGCTCTCCAACCACGATCTCATTATTTAGCCTTATGTAATTCTGCATAGTATTTTTTTGATGCACAGTAGCTGGCTGGTAGCTTACCGGAACGATGCCCATCCGTTACCGGTAGCTGAGCCCGCTTGCACCAGTTGTATTTTTTTCTCCTTTTTTCTATGTATTGGGGCACAGTAGCTGAGGTGTTCCCCACCTCTAGCTAACGTGTATGATGATGATGATGATGAATCCCTGGACATTCAGGTGAATGGAGTTTGATCGGTTGTAATCTGCTGGTCTCATGCCGGCTCTTTTCAAGCAAGCTACCACCATACTGTCAACATGCCACCCGATCTTATTCCTCCGTTGTTGTGTTGAATGTTGAACGTGTGAGAGGGGGTGTGAATGGTACAATGCAAGACACTCATGGTACCTAGGTAGAAACAACATTTCCTCGGCGTATCAGTGACACGGTAACAGAAACACAAGGTGACGCGTGTTATCGTGACATGTTGGTCAGCAGCCAGGTATGCTTGGAGATCGGCACAACTATCAACAAACCGTCCTGCGGTGTACCGCACTTGTATGAGGCGTTCAAATGAAACGGTTGATGTTGTGGAATTCTTTCGCATCAGGACAATGCTTTCAATTTTGCGGCATGACACCGGTTGCAATCCAGGCCTGGCAACCCTGGCTAAAACGTGACCTTGCAGCGCTTGAGACCCCACAGCGTCGAGCAACGAAAATCGTCAAGGGCTTGCGCCACACTCCTTACCAGGAAGGACTGGAGATACTCGGAGTGTTCAGCGGACGGTACCGGCGACTTCGTGGAGACCTCATACTAGTGTACCAGATATTGAGCGATCCCAGTCACGTATGCCACCACCACTTGAAGCTCAGCCCGAACACTAACCTTCGCGGTAACAGTTTAAAGCTGAGCCAACAGTACAGTCGTCTAGACTGTCGGAGAACCTATTTCTCCCTCCGGGTCTGCGGGCCCTGGAACGCCCTTCCAAACTCAGTAGTTTGTGCCCCCACATTAGATACGTTTAAAAAACGATTGGACGTCGCACTGAGCGCCCTGCGCTTTGTTTTATGAACGAAAACGCTTGTATATATTTAGGCTGACCAGCCTCTTTGGATTTATACCCCAAATTCACGGTCGTAAATCTGTGCGAACCGGTGAGTACTCCATTTTTATTTGCTACCATCACCAACGATAACAATTTCTTAGCCAGTTTTGCGTCGTACCACTTTATCCCTCTAAAACTGTTATACTTCTACCTTTTATCTCACTGACACTCCTTACTTCAACCACTTATGTGGTTTGCCAATTTGTTAGTATTTCTATTGCCAACCTGCGGGACTCGTTAAATGTATGCTTTTTTACCCGTCATATACCATTGTTCCATTGTTCCATTGTAAGTTTAGCATTACAGTGCCCTTCAGTGACCCCATTGTTAATCTGAATAGTATTATCATGGACTGTTAAATTCTTGCGGTGCTGTATGCACCACGAGAAGGTAGTTTCATTCGTCGCTTGCACCTCAGTAACCTGAATAAAACCGCGGGAGACACGCTGTTCAATTTCACTGTGGCAGGTTTTTTGAGGTGTACCTTACATAATGGTTTGTTTCAGAAATATGCTGGTAATTTTCGTATACATTTTTGTATACACTGAGTATGTCAAATTTGTCGCTGTTGCAGATCATTATGTTTTGCAATTAAATCATCGTATCGCAGTGGACTTTCGGCGGTTCATTTCATACAAATGTCCGTAGAGTGGCGTTTATCAAAATAGGGCCTCAGTAGACGTTTTAAATCTCTGGAGATAGAACCGACGATTGTTTCTTCCCTCGATATCCAATGCACTCAGTTCGTGTATTCAGTAGCCTGAAGGATTCGCCTGAATCTCAAATTTTCACTAGTAAGGTGCTGGGCTTTCGATGTTGGCTAACGCGGTTTCCATTCGTTGAGCTGTCCGAGTGACTAGAGTTGACGTGTTTCATCTGCCCTCCAATTTGCTCCCCACAGAGCTGCTTCCGTAGCCTACCTGGTTTCGTCTTATAGCAGGGTATTCGGCATATCTCTGTCCATTTCTAACAATCCTGCACCATACTTTCGTTCCCGAATCCAGTGTTTGAGATTATTAATTTGTACGGTTTGGAAGGAGTGACCTTTCTTGCTCGCGTCGCCGGTTTTCTGTGTCTAACTGTCACGACTTCCATTTCTCAAGGAATTATTCGTTGACACTACTTAAATATCGCTTGCCTAGTTTGCCAATAATATGCTTCGCTCAAGTGAAATTAGGTCGTTGAAGCCAAATGGAATATGTGAAGTTCTCTCTAGATCAAGCCACTGCAACAATGTCACCGTTATCAATCTCATAGAATTAGACCTTCAAAAAAAATCCGCGTGTACTCTTGGGTTTACTTTGTGGGTGAAGTGAAGTGTTTGACCTGCAAGGATTTTACACTCTAGCGGCAATGTGCTTCTCCAAAATGGACGGATCAAAGTTGACCGTTCTTGTGAAAGTAAAATATCAAATTCATTTGTCGAATTAGAGAAGGGAACTCTAAGCTGTACTAGGACGCTGCGATCAGCCAAGCTTCAAGTAACTTCCTTCGCCTACTGCCCTTTAGAACTTAGCTGGGATCTGCTCTACCGCAAACTAACCTTGTTTGTGGCCGCTCGCATTCGACACTTGAACTCTCTCCACTGGTTTCCTGCAAAGCTATTGCTAACGTAATGCAGCTTTATTTATGGTATAAAGTTGTATGCGCGATAGTTAATATTCTGTCTTTATTTCACTTGAATTAGAACGAAGCAAAGCTAACCAATTTGGAGATTTTGACATCAGTTCCATCCGTTTTATTGTCTTGAAGGTAATCGTGATGTTGCTCGCAACTCCGCACTTCGTTGAATCTACACAATTGGCAACTTGTGCACAAGGATGTAGCGGCTATTTGCCGAACATGTGTGCGCTGTGCGCCTCACAGGCATATGATGAGAGCTGTGAGGCCGAAGTCGACGTTTATTACAGGTGTCTGAAAACCTGTAAAGAATCCCCGACAGTTCCAGACCTTCCTCTACTATGAAGTCTGCAACAGGATATCATCTCATTGCTTGTATAACATCACAACCCCAGCTGCTCTGAATACATGTTGGATTTTGGATTATAATTCTGTGATTGGCCGCAATGACACGCAGGTTGTTCCAGCATTATCTAACTTGTTATGTACAATAGAATATTCAAAACTACACATTTTGCTGACCAATTAGTCTTGTTTTTCAATACTTGAAGGTGCATATACAGCCTAACCTCGTCAATATGTGCACTTAGTCGACGTCAAAGACGCAAGCTGCGCTTGTTTAATCAGTAGGTTGACATTTTTGCGCCGACCAGGTGCTCGTTATTTTTTAACCGTTTCGAAATATCAGAAGAATGTTCACACTAGCGGTGGTTGAGACGCGGTTGCCGTTAGGCTCGTCTAGAAATTTGGGTCTCCAGTTACTCTTACCGGATCCAAAGCAAATGAAGGAGGCTAAGCTTGACGAGCACAGCCACCGCCGATTGAAATCAGACCTTCAAGGTAGTTGAACACAATCACTCGTGTACAAATGATTATTAGGAAATCACACAGTGTATCGCCACTCATCTGTAACAGTGGTCTGAAATCTGTTAAAACTTCCTTTGCAATAAAGCAACTTGAAGATAAGAGCCCATGGAAGATTAGATGTGTGCATCCTAAGTCTTGTGATCAAGTCCACCAACCGGATGCAGGTCCCACATCACCCAAGCTCAAAGCACAGCGAGCTCTTCGAGCTGTGTTAAATTCCGCCGACAATGCTGTAGCAGCCTGCAGATTGTCTCCGGAATTGGTGCTTTTCCGTCCGCATCTTTACAGATATTCCTTTAAGTGACCATAAACGAGCGAAATATGGATTAGAAAACTAACAGAAGGAATCCGTAGGCACGAGCATATTTGCCCATGGTTTTTACGAGACTGGATGACATGATGAGCGTGAACCAAATGCCCACGACCTGGAGAAGTGGGGTTGCATTTGTGAGTCTTGGTTCTTGGGAAATGAGATAGCTGCCTAGTTTACTGGATTTCACAGAACGTGGCTAAACATTGCAAATAAGATGCTTCAAGACAGATGTTTTTGAACAAGAGTATTGAAATGCTGGCATGCGCTCCGCAGCAGACTGCCTTCTGATTTCCGGCTCAATGCCGCAAACACAAGACATAAGCAGTTCAGTTGAACAACTTCCTAACTACGCTTGATCTGGTACAGATCCGTTCTTCACCGCTCTAGCCTTAATGATCTGTGGTTGACTTTTCATCGGCCGGCACAACATCAAGCTCAGAACACACTTCCCCCAACTCACTACTGAGATCTGAGATACTTTGCTCTATATATGCCAACACGCAGAGCCATAGTAACTTCGACTACGTCAGACGCTACACATCTAAGACCTCATAATAATAACAATAATAACAATAGGTCCCTTTCTGTTTACTTGAATAGCTGCGTCCATATCTGGTACAGATCATGTATGTACTGGTAGTACCATACTATTGCGTAAGCAAACATAAATTGTGTCGAATAAAAAGCAACGGTATATTCCGCTTCGGTGGGAGGTACAGTCCAACTGCATACTACGATTCTTGATGTACGGCAGAATCGCAATGAGCGGAAACATTATTTTTAAAAGTTTTAAAGCAGTTCTGTACATATTTTCGGTGGAAATGGCTAAATGTCCAGTTAAATCGTTCGGGAAGACTGAGAGGTTTTCAAAAAATCAATAAGTTTAGATAACTCCAAATATGGCCATCCATGGAACTTATTCTTGGAAACCTGCTTCCAGGAAGGTTATTCCCTCGATGGGTTGCACCCGTACTTCCATACCCCTTATGGCCATGCGCCGGTGTGGTTTTTAAAGCAGGTAAGGTAGCACCTACGTAGCTAATTTTTACGGCCGCTTTCATGTGAGTATCATGTGGACAGTCTAGCCCGTACCATAAGTCGGTATTTTGGAGTCAATCACACTTTCTCGCTAGGGAACCACTGGCATTGCGCCTCGCGTGGGCCTAAATATTAACTTTGAAAGTTACAATTCGTAATCTCAGAAGATCGATCCAGTCGTGGCCCAAAATGAAGTAAAGAATAATATAACCTATATGGAGGTAGAAGAGTAGTACTAGTAGCAATACCTAATAAAGCAATAGCATATGTTGATTCTGCGCAAGAAAGACCGTGATACGTATTGCTCAAGTGTTCCTATTTCGTAGTTGGGCATGTGGATCCGAAATCTCAGTGCGAAGGAATAACCTGCTGACACACTTGGAATTGTATTTCGACACATGGATCGAAGTGAAAAGCATAATGGGTAAAACAAGCCAATCAGAACAGTGATAAATTATCATTGCAGAGAAGTAGTAAGGGGTTGAATGGTAAAGGTAGCAACTCGCCACATCTAGACTCACACAGACAGCCATCACATGCCTGGAAAAGCACTTATACGCGTTCCATCTTTTCGGGTATCACCAACATTTCGCATTCCATCGGACCCTGGTAGGACTCGAACCCGCAACTCGACTGCCGCCAGTCCGTGGTTGAGACCCCTGAACTACAGGAACGGTAACAACCATCGTAAATAAGTTACTAGAGATGATATAGCGCCGCTCACTATCCACTGACTTACACGCTACCGCCGTGCAGAGGACAGGGTAGCCCCCTCACCAGGCGACGAGCTTACCAAATTTAAGCCGTCAGTTGACCTATGACGTTATAAGCAGCTTGGTCTGCGTACTGATTGCAGAGAAGTATTAGGGTGACGAATTTCTACCTTTACCGTTCAACTCCCCCACTACTTCTCTGTAATCAGTACGCAGACCAAGCTGCATACAATGCCATAGGTCATTTGACGGCTTAAGTTTGGTATGTTCCTCGCTTGGTGAGGGGGCTACCCTGTCCTCCGCACGGTAGTAACGTGCAAGTCAGTGGATAGTGAGCGGCTCTACATCACATTTAGTAATTTATTCACGATAGTCGTTGCCGTCCGCCGTAGCTCATTGGTCTCAACCACGGACAGGTAAAAGTCGAGTTGTGGGTTCGAGCCCTACCAGGGTCCGATGGAATGCGCACTGCTGACGAGAAAAGATCAGTTAGTATCGAGCACTGTGACAACACTATTTACTCAATCGCGTGAGTATATGTGGTTAGTTGAGTAAGGTCAATCCGTGCGCCCGTAAGTTCCCCTCACGTGGCAGAGGAAGGCACATTAGTGAATCGTAACGTTCTATCGGTTCAGGTGAACGTTGTGGTTTCCAAATAGCGATCGGCTGATTGGTTTCATCCTTTTGGCTTTGTCCGTCTTCCTACACTCTTCTGTAACAAGTTCCCCACGCCGTAAGGTCCATCCGAGATGAGGGGACGGAGGGAATCATTGTGCCAGCGTACGGTTTCTCCACTTCCAGTTGTATGTCGGCCTCCGTTTCTGAACTTGAAAGCAAGGCTCCTGGGTGCCATACCTGATCACGCGGAAGTTTCATGTCAACATCTCATTTTGCTACCAAATCCTGTGGTTTAGCTTGTTCGCGCCCACAATGATGCACGCGCTGTTGTTCACAATGCCTGACCTGACGGATGTCCGGTAAAAGTAGGTCAAGCCTCCTACGTAGCCGACGCCCAAACATAGCCTCACCCGGATTCTTTCCAATGGACTCCATCGGTGTGGTGCGATACGCGAATAGGAATAAGTCACGTTTGATGCGCAAAGAGCCATGAGGTTGCTTCAGGAGATGGGCCTTCATGGTTTGTACCGCTATTTCCGCCAAACGGTTTGACGCAGTATAGTTTGATTCGGAATTCGTATAGTAGCTGCCATTCCGTTGCAGGTATTGTTTGAACGCTGCCCTGGGGAACTGCGGACTCTTATATGTGACCAATGTTTTCGGTATACTGTGCATGGATAGACCACAACGTAAACTGTTGTTTGTAATTCCATAGTAGCAGTAACAACGACCTGTACATCCATGCACTTGGAGTACGCATCCACTAGGTATACCATGATATTCCCACCAATCGGACCGCAATAGTCAGCGTGAAAACGTTCTCTTGGACCGGCGGGCAGCTCCCAATGGTGCATGGGACCAGTTGGTTTGTCCTTTTGATAAATCTGGCACGCAGTACTCGAATGTGCTTCAATATCTCTATCGATAGCGGGCCACCCGCAGTAGGATCTGGTCAGAGCTTTCATGCGGACGATTCGCGGATGAGTATCGTGTAACCCTCTCATTGCAGCTGATCCGAGCCCAGATGGAATAACTATATGTGATCAATGCAAGATGCATCCATGGTGCGGGCTTAACTCAAAATAAGTGAAAGACGGACGCAGATCGTCAAAAAATTGCGGCTTCCAACCCTACAGTATCATACGTTTCACTTTCGATAGGACCGGATCGCGCATTGCGCCTTTCCTAACCATGTCACTGTGCATTGGTGTAGTGTCTAGGTATTTCAACAGTAGCGCAAAGTCGCATGGCGCTCCACTTCACTCATCCAGTTGGGCATTCTGTAGTAATCTACTGAGGACGTCAGCAATATGATTGTGGGAATCAGCGATGTATCCTCATTGATAGTTGTAGGCAGAACGTAGAATTGGCCAGCATATCACTCGGGGTGCGTATAGTTTTTCTGTGCCTCGTCCCCTACCGAAATGCGAGATCAACTGTTTATGATCAATCTGTATTTCAAACCGATTGCTACGCAATTACTGAGTTAATCGCTTGACCACAATATCACTGCCGGTGCCTCTTTGTTCATTTGTGCGTAAGTCTTCTCAGCAGCCTGTAATGTGGGGGAGGCGAAAGCAATAGGACGAATAGTTCTGTCGTGAACCTTATGCCCTAGGACTGCTCTAATTCCACACGGCGAGGAATCACACGGTGAGCCGATGGGCTTGTTGGGCTCATAATGCACAAGCGCTGGTAATAGGTCGGAAATTTTCTTTCTCAAATGCTTGTTCCTCTCTCTTTTTCCATGATCATTAGAAACTTTCTTTATCCCCTCGTGAAGTGGTGCTGTAACG